TAACTGACTGCAGCACAATGTGACTCAGTATCAATTCTCTGAAGACGCATTCCCCAACTGACCGACTGACTGACTGATTGAGTTTCAACATTAAGCTCTGCACAGAAGTGTAGCAATTCAAGTCTCCAGACTCCATGTAGCTTACAAAAGTTGAGAAAAGAGAGAAAAATTGATTCGAAAGAACGAATATAAGCGGAAATGTGCGAGAGAAAGAATAGTCACATGGTAAAACATGAGGGTCTAATGGATATGGGAGATCACAAAGAGTTAAGGCATATGCGCCATTGTGGACTTTGAGCTGTGTCATCAGTAGTTTGCAGACACTGGTTCTTAGCATCTTGAGGATCCCAATCAGGCAGTCAACACCTCTGAAGTTATATGCACTCCCTACTGACGAGTACCAATGAGGAAAAAATCATAGTTCGAGGCTTTCTGCTGATCATATCCAACCACCAGGCAATTTGTTTTTGACTACCTAGGGATAATTGACACTGTATGGATAGTGTTGGGCTGTATTTCTTCTTTTCTGTTTGCAATACTGATGCATTTTGTAGTATTTTGGGTCCTGTACTTGTATTAGGACGAATATAACTTTAAGCCTAGCAATATGTCAATACAGACAGGTGAAGAAAAGGAATGGTACTACTACTGTAACAACAGAAAACAAGGTCCAGGCAACAGATCGTTTAATAAGGAAAATCAACACATATTTATAGATTTTAATGTACATTATTGTAGATTATTGTTAGTAGAAAATACAGCCTATTGATTGGTTGTTTCTCACAGAAAGTTAACCTTGCATCTCTTTGTGGCTGTGTCAGATCATCCATATTGATCCGAAAGCTGCTACCTTGACGTGGTGGTCGGGCTTGAACACCGCAATGACCCAACAAGCTATACTGGCTGGAACTTATGTTCCTGCAGGTCCTACCATGCCAGGAAGGTTGTTCGGATAGCGGTTAGACTAAAAGCAGTTACCCAACCCAATCCTATGACTTCAAATAAATCACAAAATATCATGCCGGATGGGTTGGGGCCCGGATTAACAACGACCGCGCTTTCTGCTGCCGTGTCACTGGGCAGAAGTGATAAATACGCTACTGAGACACACCAAATAAAAAAGAACAAACAAAAACAGGCCGTGTGTGACCGGCCTCAAGCAGTTGTCCCCTGGGCTCTGCGGTCACGCAACCAACTTCCACGGTGTGGGCAGCCGGGAAGTAACAATCGCCCTCACAACCCGAAGAGCACACGAAACCTCTCTATTCCTCACTCACCTTTGTCTTCATCTTCCTCTCTATTATCTTACCTTCCTTCTACTAATGCAACTTCTCTACTTCATGGCTCTTCACTTCCTCTTCACTCCGTGTCCACTGAAAACGACGGAAGCCAAAAGGCCACCATCGATAGTCTCCTAAAGCCACGTCACCAATTTCATATAGGGGCATTTAATGTTAGGACACTTTGCCAAATAGGACAACAGGCATCACTAGCCAAGACTCTGGCATCCCGAGCCATTGATGTATGTTGTGTTTCAGAAACACTCATACAAGACCCAAGTGTGGTTATTCACCTAACTCCACCTGGCCAACAGGATGAATATGCAAAATTCACCTTGAGGGTGTCAGGAGATGAGACGGCTAGCTCACGAGGATTAGCTGGTGTTGGGATAGCTCTGAGTACTAGGGCAGAAAAGACATTACTTGGCTGGATCCCGGTAGATAGCCGAATGTGTGCTGTCCGTCTGAACGGATCAGTGAAAAGGAGAAAGGACTGCACTACTCACCGATGCCTTTTCGTAATCTCCGCCTACGCCCCCACTAACTGCAGTTCGGATGAAACGAAGGATGAGTTCTACCAAAAGCTGTCTAGTTTGCTGCGAAAGGCTAAACGCTCAGATATAGTCGTTTTAGCTGGTGACTTTAATGCTCAAGTAGGGAAATTGTGTTAATCTGAGAAGAATGTTGGTGGCACATACGGAATTCCGTGCCAGCGAACCGACAACGGTGACTGTCTCCTACAGTTCTGTTCAGATAATCATTTGTATCTTGTAAGCACTAACTTCAAACACAAGGAGAGACACTGTTTGACCTGGCGACCCCCATCATCAAACCAACGCTGGACACAAATAGACCACATAGCAATAAGCCATCGTTGGCGTGGGTCGGTAGGAGATTGTCGCTCCTTCTGGAACACGTGTGTAGATACCGATCACGCACTGGTCCGCGCTCGTGTGTGCTAACGACTGAACGGACGTAGGAAACAGCTAGCGGTAAACCCATCACGTCCCCAGCTCGATCAGCAAACTAAGTCCCTATTTGAGGAAGAACTAGCTAAACACATATCTGAGTTCGACAGCTGCGCTCACCCTGAAGAAGCCTGGAAGAATATTCAATCAGCCATAGATACAGCTGTAAAAGCTGTGAATAAGGTAATTCCAAAGGTGAGTAAAAACCATTGGATTTCGACTGCCTCATCCGAACTGATAGATGCTAGAAGACTTATTCCGGCGAGCTCCGAATTCAATGAGGAGCGAAAGCTGCACAAAAGGAAACTTACGAAAAGTCTCCGCAAGGACCGTGAACAGTGGTGGTTGACAAAGGCGAAAGAGATGGAAAAAGCATCGGCGATAGGCAACACTAGGCAACTCTTTAGACTCATCAGGGAAACGGGTGGGAGAAGGCAAATCATAAGTGAGACTATTTGTGAGAAATATGGCTCCTTAATTAGCTCTCAGGATAGACGCCTCGAACGCTGGAAAGAACACTTTGAGGAACAGTTTAACTTGCCTACAGCCACACTGAGCCTCCCCGCCATCCAGCACACACCCGAATGGGACATAGACACTGGCCCGCCGTCTGTAAGTGAGGTCACCAAAGCAATCTGTAATTTGAAACGAAGCAAAGCGGCAGGACCCGACGGAATTATTCCGGAGGTATTTAAATATGGGGGTGACATACTAGTATATAGTTTAACTAAGGTACTAGGTAACGTCTGGGAATCAGAGACGGTTCCATCAGACTGGGGTAAGTCACTTATTATACCGATTTTCAAGAAGGGAGACAAGTCGTCATGTGATAATTATAGGGGGATCAGCTTAACGAACATAGTCTCTAAAATCCTAGGCTCAGTAATCATGAACAGACTAAGCCGAACTCGGGAGGAACAAACGAGGGAAAATCAAGCGGGCTTTAGACCAGGTAGAGGGTGCATAGATCATATCTTCACTCTCCGACAGATCCTAGAACATAGGCACACTTTTAGGCGTCCAACAATTGCCATATTTCTTGACTTGAAGGCGGCCTTCGACTCCGTGGATCGAGAGGTTCTATGGCAATGTTTGACTATGAAGGGAGTGCCAAGAAAGTACATTGCACTAATCAAGGCACTCTACTCAAACTCACGTAGCTGTGTAAGGGCTTATGGAGAATTGTCATCTGAATTGATAACAACTAGTGGTGTCCGTCAAGGATGTCCACTTTCCCCTTTTCTGTTTAACTTCATCATAGATATGCTAATGGAAGTATCCTTAACTGAATTTAATGACTTAGGAATTGACTTGTTACCAGGGAATAGTCTTATAGACTTAGAATACGCAGACGACATAGTCCTGTTAGGGGAGGACGCTGACAAAATGGAGAGTCTTCTAAACACCTTGAGCAGCAATCTTCGTATGTTTGGCATGCGATTCGCCCCTGTGAAATGTAAGATGCTGCTACAGGACTGGACTACGTCAACTCCTAGCTTAGTGATAGGGAGTGAAGTGATAGAACATGTTGACCACTTCACCTATTTGGGAAGTTGTATCAGCACCATCCGGCTGTCAACCAAGGGACGTGTATACTGCTCATCAGTTCGCTCCGTCCTTCTCTATGGCGGTGAGACGTGGCCATTGAGAGCGGAAGACATGAAGAGATTGTCTGTTTTTGACCACAGATGTTTACGATCTCTTTCTCGCGTTAGGTGGTATAATAAGATAAGTAATGTTGACGTTAGGCGTAGAGTGTTGGGCAAAGAGGGAAAATCACTCGAAGAGGCTATGAAGTTACATAGATTGATATGGTTAGGCCACGTGCTGCGCATGCCTAACCATCGTCTCCCCCGACGGGCATTACTAGCTGATATAGGTGCAGGCTGGAAAAGAGTAAGTGGTGGCCAAACAAAAGCATGGCATCAATCCATGAAATCCTTGACAGTTAAACTGAGTCAGGTAGGGAAGGAGATGCAGACTTCCGGGTTGGGGCCCTCTGGACTCTAAGAATCAATGGCTGGAGACAATAGGTGACATGGCTCAAAATCGTTGTCAATGGCGCAGATGTATTCAGTCTCTTTAACCTTCATACTCCTTTCTACCACTACTCATTCTGTTTCACTCTTACACTTGTCAAAACTCTATTGATTCCCTGCACTCATCTTCTTGTCTTCCTTGTGTGCTATTTGGAACGTGGCAACTCGAACTGCTGCACTTCGGTGCCAAGTTCTATGTTGAATCCAGCAGCAGCAGCAGCAGCAGCAGATCATCCATATGCGAACTGTATCCGCCTACGCAAAGCCTTTGTTCTCATTTTCTCACCACCAATATTGGGTACATAAACATTGACGTCAATTACTGTCTACCAACTTTGGCTAGCAGCCAGCTCTCACCACACTACTACTTCGTTTTAAAGTTTGAGCAGGAACTAACTTCAATTAAGGAACCATTGAATACCAGGGAGTACTGGGCAACTGTTTCTTCCTTGTTTGAGACTCTTCATAAGTACTTTGTTTTAATGAGAACACCGACTGGTGTATTATATTTGTATCTGTATCGTTTACTAATACTAAAATAATGACAATGTATTTAAAGTTTGCGATTAACGGATAGCAAAGTGATTCATTGACCAATATGTAAAGTGACAGTGTAATTGGCTATCCATTGCTTAACCTTTTTCACAAATACCATTTTTTTTATATACGGGAATATTAACAAAATTTAGCACTGGTTTTATTTTAAATTATAGAAATTTCATGCTACCTACATTTCAACTGGTTCTTTCAAAAAATTAGCTAAAAAATTGGTTCGTTCATTCTCAGATCGTTCACAAACTAGTCCTACTGAATCTTATCATAATTTTACTGATGAATATTCAATGAATGGATCCAATCAAACACTGAACTCTAGCAAAGGAAATAAATCGTTATCGAGATCTAGTATTAAATCGTCTTTACAAAGAATATTCAACATAAAACGTGAAGGTTTGTTAATTTGTTATCTTTCTGAGCAGTGGTCATGTAGTGAAAGTATTTTGATAGTATATATTTTAAAAAAATGAAATTCGTCTTCCATATTAGTTTGTTTATTAGGTATATCACACAGTGAAACAGTATTATTTACTGGATGACGTTTCGAACAAAATTTATTGTTCATAATCATATCAATTGTGATCACACGACTTTGACACTTGAGTTTTATAGCTTTCTTTGTTTTCTCCTATTTGTCGTAGGGGGAGTAGAATTTTCCAGATATCGGGGACAGGTGATGAATCATTCCTATTACATGTATTTGCAGTTGATTCGATAAACAAAGCTTCTGTTATCAATCTCTCCCTATACCCTGTGACATTAGATTTTAAAACTGTCATCCTATCCCATCCTATTGTATGGTTGTGTGTGACTGCATGTAGTGCTATAGCTGAACTATTCTCTAGATTACTTATTTTATTCGGGTCAACCAATCTAGATTTTGCTAAGTTTTTATGTTCAGCTAGTCTGACTGCCCCTGTTCTACTAGTTTGACCTATGTATTTGACCTGACAATCATTGCAGGGTATTAGATAAATTAAATTGCTTTGTTTTAAAGGCTCTACAGGATCCTTTAGCCGACAAAGCTTGTTTCTAATTGAGTTTGTGGGTTTGAATGCCGTTTTTATTCCTGCCTTGTTTAGAATTCTGCGTAAGGCTTCCGAGGTTCCTTCTTTGTATGGAATTACTACTGATGATTTAGACTCTTTATTGTTGGTGTCGTTATCAATATTATTATTATTGTCACTATTATCATTATCATTATTATTGTTATTATCACTATCGCTATTACCATTATTTATTTTATTTTTACATTTCCTTACATATTTCCTGACTAATTTATCCGGGTAATTATTAAGTTTCAAGGCTTCTTTTATATGTATCAGTTCTTGGTTTAGATTTTCTTTGGTACTACTTAATTTTTGTGCTCTGTTATTTAAACATTTCACCAATCCTACTTTTACTGACATAGGATGGGATGATTGGAAGTCCAAATATCTGTTTGAGTGTGTGGGTTTCCTGTAAACACTAGTGTTTAACTTCCCATCTTCTTTCCTCTTTACGTTGCAATCTAACATTGGGAGTTCCCCTTCCTGATTTTCCAATTCATAAGTGAATTGAATTGCCTCAACCTTCGAGTTTATGTGTTCGAAAAACCTATCTATATCTTGTGTTCTAAGTACAGTGAATGTGTCATCTACGTACCTCCACCCCAAAAGTATGGTGGAGGTACGTAGATGACACATTCACTGTACTTAGAACACAAGATATAGATAGGTTTTTCGAACACATAAACTCGAAGGTTGAGGCAATTCAATTCACTTATGAATTGGAAAATCAGGAAGGGGAGCTCCCAATGTTAGATTGCAACGTAAAGAGGAAAGAAGATGGGAAGTTAAACACTAGTGTTTACAGGAAACCCACACACTCAAACAGATATTTGGACTTCCAATCATCCCATCCTATGTCAGTAAAAGTAGGATTGGTGAAATGTTTAAATAACAGAGCACAAAAATTAAGTAGTACCAAAGAAAATCTAAACCAAGAACTGATACATATAAAAGAAGCCTTGAAACTTAATAATTACCCGGATAAATTAGTCAGGAAATATGTAAGGAAATGTAAAAATAAAATAAATAATGGTAATAGCGATAGTGATAATAACAATAATAATGATAATGATAATAGTGACAATAATAATAATATTGATAACGACACCAACAATAAAGAGTCTAAATCATCAGTAGTAATTCCATACAAAGAAGGAACCTCGGAAGCCTTACGCAGAATTCTAAACAAGGCAGGAATAAAAACGGCATTCAAACCCACAAACTCAATTAGAAACAAGCTTTGTCGGCTAAAGGATCCTGTAGAGCCTTTAAAACAAAGCAATTTAATTTATCTAATACCCTGCAATGATTGTCAGGTCAAATACATAGGTCAAACTAGTAGAACAGGGGCAGTCAGACTAGCTGAACATAAAAACTTAGCAAAATCTAGATTGGTTGACCCGAATAAAATAAGTAATCTAGAGAATAGTTCAGCTATAGCACTACATGCAGTCACACACAACCATACAATAGGATGGGATAGGATGACAGTTTTAAAATCTAATGTCACAGGGTATAGGGAGAGATTGATAACAGAAGCTTTGTTTATCGAATCAACTGCAAATACATGTAATAGGAATGATTCATCACCTGTCCCCGATATCTGGAAAATTCTACTCCCCCTACGACAAATAGGAGAAAACAAAGAAAGCTATAAAACTCAAGTGTCAAAGTCGTGTGATCACAATTGATATGATTATGAACAATAAATTTTGTTCGAAACGTCATCCAGTAAATAATACTGTTTCACTGTGTGATATACCTAATAAACAAACTAATATGGAATTACTTACTACCACAGTGCCCAAGTTTTACACATATATGAAATTCGTCTTCCTTGAAGTTTCAACTTTGATCACGGATTGATATCAGTCAGAGAAGTATTGAAAATTAGGGAGTACTTGACTTCTGTCTTGTCCTAGTTTGGGACTCTTAAGGAGAGTACGCACCCATGACTCCATCAGGGATCGAACCCCGAGCTACTGGGATTGGATCCAGCAGCCCATGAATTCTAACATCTGCCAATTCGTGATTTTAGCGCCACAGTCAGTCAATGTCATAGGCGAGTATTTGTCATCGTACCAGACTTGGTGTACCCCAGTGATCCATCGTTTCTGTGTATTTGATAATTCTGTAAGTGATATGTTGTCATCTTGTCAATTGTAATATGGATCAGCTTATCATAGTGTATACTGAAGAGACGTGCTTTACACAACAGAAGTGAATATTTATAATGTTTTGGCCATTAATGCTAAACCGGATTTGGATGTTAGTGAATGTTTATAATGGTGATGGCTAGTGGAAGTTCGGTTATCTATGTAGATAACCTACTCATTGGTATCTTGAAGGGATTGTTAGTTTGCATTTTAGTTTTGATTTATGAAACCAGTTCGGCAAAGTTAAACTTTAAGCACCACTAACTACCAATCAGCGAATGACCTCGAATGCACCAATCATGTGAAGAAGGCATCTTTGTGTATGCAATGCATATATTTATGAAAAGAATGCATACAAACTGTAGAAAAGTGTTACAGAGGACACCTTCCTCCCATATATGATTAAAATAGCTCTGTTTTAGGTTGTAGTATCAACAGAGTACAATTCCCTTGTGGGTAAAATTTATTTTGATAGAGTTTAATAGTGCAATACATTAATATTTACTAAGCAATAAATGCTGCTCGAAACGTCATCAGTAAATATTACTGTATAACACACCGTGTGATTTTATCAAAAAAATTATCCATATTGGAGTTATACTCTATCGCAGTGCACAAGTTCTATTCTTATATCAACAGAGTAACAACATTCTATGCATGTAATTATTTAGTTCTTCTAACCCTACCAATAACCCCGATCTTTCCTGAACCTAACACCAAAGTGAAAATATCTCTAAACCAACTGTAATCTAACTCGAACCAACCCTAATGTGTCACCCTTATTAGGTTAACCTAACCCTAACTTGTCCTTGGCCCAAACCGTAACTGAATCTTTCCCAAACCTAAGCTGAAACTTGCCAGATATCCCATTTAATAGCATAACACTTCGATGAGCATATTTTATTGATGATGACATTATTTGCCAGGTTTCACTAACCTGCTCAATGAGCGTTTCACGGTCATTGGTGCGGTTGCACTCCACTGGTAGTTAGTGGTGCTCAAAGTTTAACTTGGCCACCAGTTTAATGCAGATTCTAAAGCTATGCAGTGAGGAGTGGAAGCTAATGCTGTCAGTGTGAAGCCTTGGCTATCGCTACGCTACATGTTATAACAATAAACAAAAACGGAGTGACCAGGAAAATGGAGGTAAATGTGTAGTAACAATCATAATCAAAATGATAGCCATAAATTTTGGTGAATTTTGGCCTTCTATCTGTAGTTCACTCCCGTTTAGGTTAGCATAGTAAAACTGGTAGGGTAGGCAGCTAGGTAGTGCAGTGCGTCAGGCAGTGGTACTAAGTAAATTTGTTAAGATAGTCAAGGTTCTCTAATGGAAATCACATGTAGGAGGTGTATGTTTCTGTTTGATTTACTACACTACACCTAATTTCTTTATTGGCGCCTCTAGGAAACAAGTATATTAAAGTATTGCTTTCTGTATTATTATCATTACTTATCTAAACTCTTTGCTGTTTTATGTGCATATAATATGACTGATTTTTATGTTTAAATTGATCTAGGTTCCGCTTTATTTCCGTTTGCCTTTAATGATTTCCCAAATTTTGATTTCTCTTTGGGAGTTTATCATGCTGGTGTATTCCTTCAATGGGGTCATTTACGCTTATCACATTATACATGGTCGCAAATTGTCAAAGTATGCTATCACTCAGATGAATTCTCTATAGTTGTAAGAGATAATGTAAGTCGATTGGATGATAAAAATTATTTTGATTCTTCTTGTTGTCAAACGAAAGTGTTTAACGGAAATCCTCAAAGCACCTGTCCTAAATAAAACATACGGTTTCTTATTAATTTTGTTATGTTGTCAGCTTAAAGTCATTATTTAAGGTATATTTTCAACCGTTATATATTTCTTCTTCTTCCGAATATAATAATACTACAATGTATATGATTATGGGACAAGAAATCGTGTTGCAAACGTCATCCAGTAAAAATTATACTATTTCACTGTATGACATGTCCAATAAGCAAATTAATATGGAAGTAATAATACTATGTTTTCATGGTTAGTAGTGCTTAATTAGTCTGAAATTCATGTCAAATTTTTATTCGAATAAAGTAGAAACAACGATTTGTGCAGAATAAGATGGTGGTGCCATTGTTTATTTCGTTGGCTTCTTATCAGTTGTGTACAGCCTAAATTTTTTCCCAGTTTACAGAGCAACTTTAACGTATATACCTGTGTACTACTGATTGATTGAGATGAGTAGTTGTGTAACGACACAAGACAAGGGCCAGGCAACAGATCGTTTATTGAGAAAATCAACCGATATTTATAGATTTTTATGTACATTATTATTCGTTATTATTAACAGAGGAACAGCGTCTTCTGATTGGTTGTCTTCTTGCTGAAAGTTAATCTCAAGTATTGGTTTCCTAGGGATTTTGTTTGATTGGATGGAGGATTTCATCATGAGCTGACATCAGCTGTTTCGTCCTAGTTTGGGACTCTTCAGTAGTACGCAGGACGAAACAGTTGTCCAGTACTCCCAGGTTTTCCAGTGGTTCTCTAACTGATGTCAGCTCATGATGAAAGTTAATCTGTCATCTCTTTGTAGCCGTTTCTTTGAAGGTCAGATCATCTATCTGCGAATCGTATCCGCCCACGCAAAGTCTGCTGTGATTGTTTGTTGAGTTAGTCTTCGTTCTTGTTTTTCTCATGACCAATATTTGGGACGTAAACATTGACGTAAATTGCTGTCTACCAATTTTGGCTAGCAGACAGCTCTCACCACAGTTGTATACCACTCACACCTCATTGAAGTGATCTAAAGCTCGGACGGCCGTTTCGCTTATTTGAGGCCGAGGCCATCAGCGGTGTACCCCGTGTGACTCAGCTGAGAGATCTGAATTAATCCAAACTACCCGATTTTTGGCTATCTACTTGGGCGAACTGGTAATTCCGTAAATCAATTCCGCTAACTTGTGAATTATTTCACAATTTACACTGTTCGAGGTAAAATCTGAAGCTTGATTTCGAGTTTAAGTAAAATAAAACCAAAAATGACTCATAAATGTTTGGATGCATTTGAGGAGTTGCGTATTTATGATAAGAGATGGATAAGATGCTAAGTAACTAATAAGTTGCATAAAAGTGTGGTGAGTTCAACTCAAATGTGTAAAACAAATAATAAGGGAAATTACACCATAGAGGAAGGGGGATGAGGTTAAAGCCAAAGATTATGTAGTCAAATAAAAGGGAGAGTAAATATATCGGGTTACTGGGGCAAGGAAAGACTGATAGCCGCTTCTTTCTGAACACATAAATCGTGTTTTAGGGTTTTGAGAGCAATTGCTTCGGCATACTTGGGGAGAATTGAACTATACTGTCTATTGATAATTTGAAAAGATTTCAGGGCATCCACCTCATGACCAGTATCGACGAGATGCCTGGCAGTAATCCTTTCGAAGGCGTCTGTTCCTTTTAGACGTAACCTTTTCGGTACCATCACATTCCACACAAACCGTTGTTTTTGTTTTATTCAAATTCATAAAAAGGAGTAAGTGTACGAATTTTTATTGCTGAATCGCTTTTTTCTGTGTTATGTATTTAGTTTCATTTCGTAGTAATTCACGATAGCATACTTTTATTGTTGATTAGTCTGAGTTATGATTATTGCGTTGTTGCTGGATAGAGTTAGACCTAATTGATAGGATACCCTTTACTTAGATGTCGTGCTTATTGGCGCTCATCAGAAAGAAATCTGCAACTTTTGTGTTCGCTAAAAAACGAGTCAAGAAGCAGATGAATTAAAAATCCATAAAATTCTCATTTGTGCGTCGGTGACACAGCGGTAGAATGCTCGCCGACCACGCATGTGGTTCGGGGTTCGATCCCCAGCCGACGCACTCCTTTACCTCACTAAATCAGTAATGAAACTGGTAAAGAGGGAAGGTTGGGCATGAGGCTAGCAACTCCATCCCGTAGAAATAAAATACCACTGCTACTGAAACTTCAAGCCTCTAGCTCAAAGCCCTGTGTTCCACTGGGAACGTAAAGGAATAAAATAAATTCTCAGATACAGTAGCCAAGTTGTGGATAAATAGAATTTTTGAGGACAGATTGGCATATATATATGTATCAGTAGAATATTAGATATTTGCATTCATTATAGTTCCTGCGAGGACAGTCTATGTTTTCCTCAATGGGGACAAGGTTTTTCTCCGGTTTTTATTGCTTCTTCACTGGTCTTACGTGTTTTCTACCATTATTTCTTATTTATATCTGCAGAATATTGATCGGCTGAATATCAGCTCTACTTACTTCTAAAGCGATATCAAACCGTGCTACCTATGCATTTATTCTGATGATCAGCATACACTTCATTGGAGTAGTTCAAAAAGAGCTGCTCTGTTGCCTCGTGTTATGTTAGCATCTTTCTAGTGTATTGTGAAGATGGTTAGTCCCCATCGGTGTGTATGTTATGCAGGTGCCACCATATTTTGAATTGTTGAAAGTTACAAATTATGCATCTTGGGATTCCAGTTGACTGTCTAAATTGTACTTGCCAGAAGTACCGAAGTAACTATTCAGTACTTCTTTGTTTTCTATAGATGTAGAGGTGATT